TGCAGGTGATTCAACGAGCTGTGGACCTGAAATTGCGTGGATGTCGATGGCAAAATATATCTATGCAGATGGGGTGGGGAATGACTTCTACATGACCGCGTCTCTCGTGTGTTTGTATCACGGTGCAGCAATTTTTTTTTACAAAATACGGTTGGGACGGCGCTCGTGTACGCGTTCTTTTTCGCCATTGTGTCTACTGTACCGTCCTTGCCTTCCTCAAGAACTTGAGGCAAACGGAGAATGTTTGAAAAAGTTGTACACATACATGTACGCCATGCTGAAAGTCAGTCGTTTACACCAACCTGTGACAGAGTAGTTTTCTCTCGTCTTTTTCATTTCATCACCACCGCATTTTTTTTTAAACAACAGCAGCAGCTCCTGCTGTATTTACACTACATACAGCTGCTGGACCGCCGTACGACTGNCGAGAACTTGAGGCAAACGAAGGATGTTTGAAAACGTTGTACACATACATGTACGCCATGCTGAAAGTCAGTCGTTTACACCAACATGTGACAGAGTAGTTTTTCTCTTGTCTTTTTCATTTCATCACCACCGTGTTTATTTTTAAACAACAGCAGCAGCAGTAGCACTCCTGCTGTATTTACACTACATACAGCTGCTGGACCGCCGTACGACTGCTGTATATATGTACATCATCACAGCAACAGAGTTCGTCAGATGACTGAACTCACCGGTTTTCCGCTGCCACGAGCGAACGCGTTGATGATTGCCACCTAGAACACCTTGGGCAGCTCGATCCCTGGCTTGCTTCCCCCGATCTGCGACCTTTCTCTTCCCGGCAGCCGCAGCAGTAGCAGGCGGTGGGTGCGAAGACGGTGCACCTCGCGCGCCGCCCGCATCTTGTGGCGTTAAAAACGACGGACGGGTGCTGCTGGTAATACCCTGGGCCTCTCCATCAATCTGCGTGATCCACTCTTCTTCGTTGAAGACACCCGTCTGCTTCAGCCCCCATGCGTTCTCGATTGCGTCCCATCGCTCCTTCGCAACGGAGTTGCCCGCCCTCACATGTGCCTTTATCGTCTCGAAACGGTCAAGAATCAGTCCTCGTTGTTTCAACTCCGACAGTTTGCCAAGGTCCTTCAACAACCCATGGGAAAAGGGGTTGGACAGCGACATGATCTCCCTGCACGGCAGGCAACTCGAGGCACGCTGCACCACGTTGCGTGTGGTAAACTAAAAAACCCGCTGGCACAGAGGCACGACGTGTATGTACAGCAGACCCCCACCTCAAAAAAAAATCTCAAAAGGGATAGTCTAGGTAGGTACCAACTACCAAACCTGGGAACGCCTCCCCCCCCCTCCTCCTCCTCCATCTGTGTAGGTTCTTCTCTCGCCACCGCCGCGTCATGTTGTTGTTGTTTGTTGTTGTCTTCACATTAAAAACCATCCCGGTCTCTCTATCC